TAGATGTTTCCAGATAAACATCTGTATATTTGTCATAAGTCATTGATAGTATTGTCATTATCTATTATCTATTGTCTAAACCACAACACTGCTTTTGCAGCGACGTCCCGTGACATTTGATAACGCTCCAGCCAATCACATGCCTTGTTCTTTATACGGAAAGGTCACAGAACCAATCAGGACACGGTGTTGATTTCAAAGTGGGCGTGGACGTGAGCGGGCGGATATACCCCGGAGGGGGCTGGGCTTCGACGGAACAGTCGAGCTCGTTGTTTTGATGAGGAAGGTCCCAGCGCCGCTTCGAGGAAACCGTGACCTACTTCCACATCTCCCCACAACCAGCAGCTCGTTAGCGGCCACTTCGTTCAGATCGAGTCGCTGAGAGAAGGAGCGACTTGATCCAGCAGATTGACTCGGGCTGTGGAACCAGGAGGAGAGGGATGCCGCTGCAGACAGACTCCGACGGACGCAGACTGTCTCTGGATTTAATGTCGTCGCACTTAATCGGAACGAGTAGTTTCTGTATACATTTAAAAAGCCCCAGAATAACCCGCTCTCGACCGAGTGCTCCCGGAAGATGCTCCGGCTCGAACTAATCGCTCCCCGTGTGAAGTGAAGACATCCAAAGAAGCTAACTGCTAACTTAGCCGCTAACGCTAACTGGTCAACAGAAAGCAGGAGGGTCGTTAATCCCCCCCACTCTGCCCCCCGGGAAGAAGACGCCTGTGAGCGGGTTGACCTGTGTTGTGTTCTCGCTCCGCTGGAGATAAAAAAGCTCTCGGTGAGTAAATTGTATTTTTTTAAAGGTCGACGCGAAACAGGAAGAGGGTTTGTCAAGTTGTATTGAAGGGAGTGGGGGAGGGGCGGCGATATATGCTGTGACCTGACGGGGGCGCTGTAACACCAGCCTGCTGGTTGTGTTCACAGCAGCTTTATCATTTATTTACGACATGTTTACCTGTTTACTGTTGATTTGTTTACTCACTGAATCTATTAGTTAATTGTTATAAGCAGTTGTGAGTAGAAACCGTGCTGATGGGGGAACTGTAACTCTGAGGTTTTTAAAAAACACCTTTAACAAAGGTTTAACATTTGTAACATCTTTATATTAAAGGACATTTTTGCTAATGAAATCTTTATCATTCATCAGATTTTAAGCATGGGTTCATGTGCTGGTAAATTATTCATTTATTTATTTATTTATTACAAGTCATAGTTTAAGTTTAAAGTTACACGTCCAACTGATTTAAAAAATATTGTGTAAATGTTTTTGTTATTTTTTTAACAGCACAATAAAACACCAAAGTACATGCATTCATTTGACATTACATTAAGTAATGAAACATGGATGTGCTTTAGGTACAGACTGATAGAATGTCAGGCAGTCTAAAATCATTATTTCTAAGTCTAATAGCTCAAATGTTTGAATTTTCTGCTTAAGACATTGTTGATATTCTATTGAATGTACTTTTGAGTTGTTTGATATTAAGCAATACATTATAATCTCCTATGTTTTGCAAGGTGACTGTACGTATACAGTACAACATTTCCCTCCAAAATATAGTGAATTACTAAGTGTGATGGACTTCTTCAGTACAAGTATCTCATATTTGTACTTGAGTAAATGTATTTAGTTAATTTGTCACGTGTTCAAATGTGACGGTAACTCTAGCAGTTCCCTCGGTGTCATTACAACTTGTTTTCTCTCTTACTTTGTTGGTGTAGAAGCAAAACGAGGGACTAAAATAATTTATTTTCCTGATATGATCTTTAACTGACACAACCTTTTTATATTTTGTTTTTCAGACAGCAATGAAACTTTTGGAGAATTCCAGCTTTGAAGCCCTCAGCTCCCAGCTGTGTGTTGAAACAGGGGAGTCTCGCATCCTTGGCAGGTAAGAAGTCACGTCATTTTAGCTCATTACACGTCCTTGTGAAAGTTACTGTCAGATTTACAGGTACAAAAAGGGATTTTGTCTCCAGGAAATAGCTGAAAATATGAGTCAGTTCCTCTCAGTTAATACTCAACAAAAGTCACGCCTCCGGTAAAATGACTGATATTTTAATGTTCCTGTTTTTCAAGTGAAAGTACTTCCAGATTATTGTTGTTTTACACAATAGTAACCAGGCAACAGTGAGACCTCCAACTCACTTATTTACATCAAAGTAAGAACCACTGGAGCAGAGATTTCTTATTTATACAACCTCTGTGTTTGTTGAAGTTTCCTTACACAGGAAATACTTTCTC